CGGTGGAGGGGTATCTTGGGCCCTGGGAGCAGCAGTTCCTTGCCAAGATATAGAAGAATTTTAATATTTTAACAAGCAGTGCATGTCAGCTGAAAATGGACCTTGGAACCAGGGTGCTGGGAGGAAGGGACATCCTGTGCCCTTGCCTTTCTCTTCCTCTTTTAACCACGCCCCCTGCTTGCCAGCCTCAAGGTGCTGTCCTGTGCCTCTCTCCACCTCTTTAACGAGCCTCTTTTCCTCTCTCTTTCTGTGTCTTGTACGTCTTTTCCTCTCTTCTCTGTCTTCCCACCCTGTCCTCCGGATTCCTGCTACCCCTTCCAAAGATACTACGCGGACTTCCTGTACCCCCCGGAGCTGAGCGCTCGTTTAAGTGACCTGACGCTAGAGGGGGAGCAGTCCTCCAGTTCTGACCCTCAGACCCCAGGGACACTGGTCTGACCCCTTCTGATATGCTCCTTGTTGGCCTGGGCATGACTCCAGTCTGGGGAGCACACGCTGACCTCGCTGAGCCCTGGGGTACGGTTGCTCTTAGTCCTGGGCAGGGGGCACCAACCTGATCTTCCAAGGCCCCCAGCTCCCTGTGGGCCCATGAAGGTGTCTGATACCCCGCTTCTACTCTCATACTGTGCTGAGAACTGGGGGCCCTCAGCCAGCTTAAAAGTGGGGGATGGTATAATGGGGGCTCCAAGCCCCTTCCTCCATTTGTTTACAGTTGTGATTTAGGTTTTCACTGTCTTTCCCCAACACTAGACGTTTTATAAAAGGGAAACTGTGATCTTGTCTGGTTGGGTTCATTCCTGTCCCATGCCCAGCCTGTTCCATTCAGGAACCCCTCCCATGAAATGGACCATATAGTCACATGGCCCTGTTCGGGGCAGCTAGGGACTCTGGTGTGAACAGATCTCTCTGCCATCCCCCACCAGGGTAGTTCTTGGGGAGGTGAGCTCTCTGCCCACATTTGGTGGGGGGCTTGGGTTCATCTTCCCACCCCAGGGGTGTAGGAAGGAGCCCCAGTCCCTGCCTGCCTGTCTGTGCCCGCTTCCTCTGCCCCCAGGGTGAGATGACCCAGCCTTTGGTGGCAGCCTCTACCCTATCCCCATTCTGGGGGCTCCACAGGAGGGTCCAAGGACAGAGCCATCAGGTGTGTTGTGTCCTGGGATGCTTTCATGGTGGAACCTGGCACCTGATAGATGCCAGTAAAATCCTCAGGTGACGCCTGGCCACAGGCTGCGTCACATCTTCCTTGACTTTCCTTCCATCCACCACTTTTTAAACAAATCTACACAAGCTGTGTTTTCTATAACTGTCTGTGACTTTCTGGAGCTGGGGGTCAACATACCCCCTTTACCTGGTGTTAAAACTTTTCTTTTTGTATCAACCGATCTGGGCCCAAGACGCTACCCACACTGGAAGAGGATTTTTAGAATAAATGTGTAAACCGAACCCACGTGTGGCTCTTCTCCCTGCCTTGCCTTGGGGCCCACACCCATAGTTCAGACCAGATATGTTTTTATAACACCATGTTATGAAAAAATAGAACACCATGGAAACAGCCTGTGATAATGTCATCTGCTTTGGCTTTACTGGTTTTGTGATGTGGGGCAACTTCTTGGCCTGTCTGTGGCCAGATTTCTAGCCTACGCCGAACAAGAACCCTTAGTAATACAAATGAAAATGGGAACACTGCACGCCCTTAACTCCCTGTGTGTAAATGCCAGAGATGAACAAGTTCCTGGAAGGAGAGATCACCCCATCAGCCCACATATTTGACAGAGACCAACCCAGTCATAAAGAATCTAGCAGAATTGAAAAGCAGAGGCCACTATGATAGGCCCAATTAGCTTGAGCGATTTAACAGCTTTTATTGTTGCAATAACACTGATATATATGCCTCATTCCAGGTCAGCGCTACCCCCACCCCATGGTCCCCACCACCGTGGAACTTGTGTATGTGTGTGTGTGGGGGGGGGGGTGAGGGGCAGAATCCCTAAGCAGAGCTGAAGGGAGGCAAATGGGACTGGTGAGTGTTGGGGTTACTGGGGACCAAGGGTTCAACAGGATCAGGATACCTGACTTCTACCCAGAGGGGACTGAGAACACTTCGGTCCTGGGGTCAAGATTTGGCAATGCCTTGTTCTGGGTTCAAAGCTGGGGTGTGGTCTGTAAAAGCCTTGATCTAAGACTCAAGATTTGAGAATGTCTTGGTCCCACACCCCAGCTTTGGGACTCAGCATGGGAGACAAGTGGGTCCCAGATTAGGTTTGTGGGAGGGTTCCATCCAGAATTTGATATTGGCCATGGATGCTCCAATCTCTAAGCCCCACTTCTGGGCTGGATGGATGAGTGGCTCTGTGTCTCAAGTTCAGGGCTGGGGAAGACTCTGTTCCCCTAGGCAATGGGGACTGGGTATGAGGGATATCCTAGTTTTGGATCTAGGGGTGGGGTAGGGGGAGCATTACAAATGCCCTGCTTTTTTTAACTGGGCAAGAGGCTCCTATTTTAAGGACTGGGAAAAGGCTCTAAATCCCGGTTATGGGTTGGGGTTGGGGTTGGGATTCTCCAGGTCATGGGTACAGATAGATCCCAAGGCCCTAGGATCCAGCCTCCTGCTCTTGTCCCAGTGCTTCCAGTAGCAGCCCCATTGGTGTCCGCTTGAGACCAATGCTCTCAATCTTGTTCTCTATCTTGTTCTTGAGGTTGCGCAGGCGCAGTGAGGCGTGCACCAGGATCACTGTGGGCAATACCAAAAGGAGTGGGGTCAGTGGAATGGGACATCAGCCTTTAGCCAATGGGGGCCCACAGAGGAACTGGAGTGGTCAGGCCAATAGAATGGTCAGTGGACAGGACACCTCTGACCCTGAAACTGGCTGAGGAACACTTTGTAACAGGGTTGTGGCCGGGGGAGGGCTGGCGGTAACTGGGACGTGGCTGGTGGAAGGCACTTAGTACCAGGAGTGAGGCCCAGAAAGGCGGTATTAAGAGTCGTTCCCAGAAGAGGAGAACTTAGCCAAGGAAGGTGCTTTGTAAAGGGGTGTGGCCTTGCCCGCCAAGTCTCCCAGCCCCCCCTCCTCCCCAAGAACCAGGGCAGGGCCGGCCTGGCGCCACGCGCACGCGCTGGCCTTGTTCCCGGGTATCTCAGGGTAGGGGAGACTCACGAAGTACTGGCCCGGCAATGCTGAGCAGGAAAGTGCAAGCGCCGCCCACCGCCCAGAGGACCAGGAGGCCAACGGCAAGCACTGCGGCCAGGCAGGCGGCGGGGTGACTGCGGCGGCAGCGGCGCACGGCCGCGCGACTCTCAGCCGCCCACACCAGCACCCCGAGGGCCACCGCCACTACCAGCGCGCTTAGGAGAGTGTGCAGCGGGCGCACGTACCTGCGGGGACAATAGAACTAAGCTAGTCAGCCAGTTGGGAGAGGGCCGCCCGGCCTCCAAGCTTCCCAGACCACTGTGCACAAGATCCCGGGCCCTTAGAGCTTTGGTTCCCCCCTTCCGGACCCTGCAAGCCGGAGAAATACTCTGGCCAGCCCTGTCTCTAAGTCCACCCTCCAGGACTTCCGACTCCCAGGAGCCCTGGACCCTTTCTTTTCAATCCTGCAGCCCCATCTTTTTGAGCTCCAGGCGCTCCCATCCAGATAGACTCAGACTCCTTCCTTCTGTCCCTACAGCACCCCCCCTCCAGTACACCACCCCATCCTGCCCCCAAACCCACCCTTGGAGCACAACCCTTGCAGATTTTTTCCAGGCCTTTGTGTCCACACATTTCCCTCTTCCCAGGCCCTGGGTCCTTACAGGACCCTCTTCCAGGATTTAGGTCCTACTCTCATCTTACATCCCCACCCAAGTCCCTCCTCCAGGCTCTCCAACCCTGTTGGGTCGCAGGCCTTCAGTCCTGGATCCTCTCTCTTGGCCCAAGTTCCCCAAGTACCTGCTCCTACAGGGATGACCACAGGGATATCCCTGTCCCTGCCCTAAGGCCTCCAGCCCCATCACTCACATCGCCCCACCATCCCAGACACACTCACGTCCCACTTTCAAGTTTTCCTTATCTTCAGGTCCACCTTCCAGCCGTTTCCCCTTCAGTTCCACAATCTCTATTTTCCCCAGGTCTTCCTTCCAGTCCCACTAACCCCCTCGGCTAGGCTGTATCCAGGCCCAGGGCCTCCTTATAACTAGGTCCCACTCCCTCCAAGTCCCCACTCCCAAGGCCCGCAGGCTTTCTATCTCTGCTGAATTTGCCCTTCCGGGCCTTGCAGCCCCCCACCCAGGTTTCCTACCCTTCCCGGTTCTCAGAATCCCGCGGGCCCACCCTCCACGCCCTGTAGGCGTCCCCGGCCAACTGGCGCCTCCCTCCCGCCCTCCCTCACCCAGCCAGGGCAAGACCGAAGCCGAAGCAGACAAGGTAGTTGGTTTGGTAGTAGAGAAGGTTGTTGATGACACGGTGGCACCATCGCTGCGGGTCGCAAGGATCCGGGGCCGCTAGACGCGCCGACCCCAAAACGAAGTCATCCAGGGCGCGTAGCGGTGGCAGCCGCACCTCCGACATCCTGCTAGTCGATGTAGCTGGACCAGCCAGAAGAGCAGTCGAACTACAACACCCGTTACACCCTGCGCCACCGCGGCGAACACCGGGAAATGGAGTCTGGGCGGGGCTTCTGCTACCCTATCCACCCAGGTGGACGACGCAGGCGCAAAACACGTGATCGGAAATACAAACGCCAGAACCGGAACTGCCATGAAACTAAATATAGGCAGCGGAGCGTGGCATTCCCATCCACGCCCAGGTGGAGGCGCCAAGGGGCCCTGTTCCGGGTGGCGCTGGCAGCACAACAGTAGCCAGACATCCGGACTAAGCAGAGATGATGGCAGGGACTGTCAGAAGGACCGGAGCAGGATCCCACCTCCTTCCTGTCCAAGTAGGTCACACCTTTCCTGGACATTTCCTGCAGTGCCTTTTCAGCCTCACCTACTCCAGGCCCCACCCCCGAGGTCCAGCCATAAATACTATTAATTTTTATTCAAATTCATCATATCAGTGATTGGCTCTTTCTGGGAAAATTTTTTTATCCCCACAGGTTGGATTAGGGCACTTCCTCTGGGGCCCTAGTACTCTTCTCCAGGTTGGGAGCCCCAGGGCATCTGCTGCCCCTCTGGGTCCCTGGCCTGGCCCTGTGGGCACACAGTCCTTAAGGACACAAGAAGTACTTGGGAGAAATGAGCTGTTTAGGCATTGCTCTGAGGAGTGGAAAGTGTGCACCTGCCCCATTAGTGCTTGCTGGCTGGTGGCTTTCAGCACTCCCACTCCCATAAATGCTTTGCACTTTGCCACTGCAGGTCCCTAGCACAACCCACGGGGTCCTTAAAAGTCATCATCATCACAGATGTCAAGGTACACATCGAAAGCCTCTCTGTTGCAGTTTCCATCAGGAGTGAAGACATATTTGTGGAAGGTCCCATCTACACAGATGGCTGGAGGAGGGGGGGAAGATCAGTAAAAAAGTTAGAGGCTGCCAAAGCCACACACTTGAAATAAGGCATCCCATGGATTACAAATCTCCTTCCAGGCCTTTGCCCGCATGCCACTCCCCTCACTGATAATGGAGTTGAACCACCCATTCTAGCTTCTTTATGCTTCCTATTCCCTAAAATTCTTTCAGGTCCAACCTGCAGGCCTTTGCCCATGCAATACCCCCAGTCAAGGGTTCCTCCCACTTACCAATGACAGAGTTGACGTTCTTGGAAGTGTTGCGACCGAAGGCGCAGATGCAGGCCGATTCAGCAGGCACTGTGAAACTCGCCAGGCTCCACTGAGAGTCCACATATTGTCCAATCATAGGCCCGACTTTGCCCACTCGAGCTAGCCTGCAGGCAGTACTGACTAAGCCCAGGTAGGGTACATGGGCAGGGGTATGGGGACATGGCAGGGTGGGGCAGGGGGAGGGGGTACTCACGCAGAGCGGCGGTTGAGGCGGGTATCCTTGAGGGCAAAGATATGGACCGTGCCCTTATCACTGGAAGCGCACAGGAAGGAAGAGTCATGGCTGAAGTTGATGCTGGAAGATAAATCAGCTATTGTGCCTACCTGTCATATGGTGTGGAGTCGCTGGCCCACCATGCATACCCTGTGCTCACCAGTAGAGGGTGGCAGGATCAGTGCCTCGGCGTAGTTCCACCAGTTTTTCCTTGGACTGTGTGTCAAAAAGGCGAATAAGGGTGCCCTTCTGAGAGGCCGAGGCCACTACGGTGCCTGGCTGGTTCAGGGACACACAGGCCACGTCGCTCTGATGTGCGTTGATGGTAAATGGCGCAGATGAAGTGCCTGGCTTTGTGCTTGCCAGGTCCTATGATGGGAAGGAGCAGTTTGTGCTTGGGGTAGTATGGAGGGAAGGGTCCCAGAGTCTACAGGGAGAACTAACCTACCCACCTACTCACTTCTTCCCACTGGACAACTCACCACAAGTTGCAGACTCCCGCACTTGTGTCCTGGGAACACTAGCAGCTGTTTTTCCAGGCTGGGGCAGAGGTCACAGAGCCCTAGGGTGTGAGGATGAAGTAGGAGGGGCTTGTGAAGGGGAGGCAGTGGCCAGGCAGGGGCTCAGAATGGACAGAGCTGGATAAGGGCTGGACTTTAACTTTCCATGATACACGTTACCTATAGAAGCCTCAGGGTGCTGGCCTCAGCTGTGATCCCCACCAGTGAGGAATATTCCCTTCTTCCCTACGCAGCTGTGGCAGCCCCAGGAGGCCCAAGGATCCCTGACACACCCACCTACGTGCTTACTAGGTATGTTTGCTCTGCCATCTGGAGCACATGAGTGGGGCAGGGCTAAGGGTTGGGAGAGAGAACTGGCTAAGGGATGGAAAGATGAATAGATGGGGAGTACAGGATTTGGCAACAAAAGTAGGTTTATAGCTGCATTGTGACGTTCTTTTGAGGAATCCTGTGTCTTGTAATTATCAGAACTTGCATGTCTTTTCTCATATGAACAACTGTAAACCTACTTTTGCCCACCCCTGTATGTGCGTCCCAGGCCATCTGAGTATCTCTGTGCAAAGACTCTCCATACCTCTTTTTCCCCACTTCTCTGTGTACCCCTCCCATTTTCTCTTTATTTCTTCCTCTCCACCTCATCCCCTGCCCCCTGCCCTTATTCCTGCATATCTGGGTCTTCTTACCCTTTGGGTTGTCCCGGGTGTCGAACTCAAACAGCTTCCGGGGATTGTCAGGGAAGGAGTATACATAGATGCGGTTTTTCAGCACAATCACAATTCTGTAGGCATCACATTACACACAACAGCCATGAGGGGAGGGCAGATGTTCAGGCAGAACTAACCCTCTCACCTGCTATGGGGACCTCCTGCCTCCCCCACCCCCAGTCCTCCTCAGGCTCACTTGTCATGGCGCATGCGCACAGCCAGCACTGCCTTGGTGAAGGTGAACTCCAGCACCAGCTTGTCCTTGGAGTCCTTGCCCTCCCGGGCATCATCCCAGATCAGCACTGCTGGGCAGTTGGGTGCATTTTGGGGGCCAAGGTTTAAGCTGAGGGACAGCCCTGCTGATACAAAACCCGTCCCTCCTCCCCATGGGACTTCCACCCACTTGTTTAACCTCTCACTAATACCCAAAGTGAGCCTCACACAGCATGAGAGCTACTACACCCATTCACAAGTGAGGAAACTGAGGCTTGAAGGGATTGAGTATTCACTGAAGGACTTCACAGCCCATCAGCAAGCAAGCCGGGGCTTAATCCTGTCACTATTTCTGCCTCTAGGGTCCTAGTCCCTATACTCCCAAGATTTGTGAGAAATCCTAGGCTCCCTGACTTGCCTAGGGCAAGTCTCTTGCCATGTCCCAGTGGGATCAACAAAAATCCCTTTAAAACAATATGGCACTTGAGACTCAAGGCAAGTAAGCATTGGGGAGATGGCTTCAAGATATTCAGAGCTAGCCTGGCCAGTGTGGCTCAGTGGTTGAGCATTGACTCAGAAACCAAGAGGTCAACAATTCGATTCCCAGTCAGGACACATGCCGGGGTTGTGGGCTCAATCATCAGTAGGGGGCGTGCAGGAGGCAGATCAATGATGTTTTTCTCTCATTGATGTTTCTATCTATCCCTCTCCTTTCCTCTCTCTCTAAAAATAAATAAAAACATATACATAAAAAATTATGTTAAAACCTATTGGTTAGATAGGTTGCTCAATCTCTCTGGTCCTCAGTTTCTTCATCTGTAGAAATGGGGTATTGATATTTCCTACCACATATAGAGTTATGGTGAGGGTTAAATGGGTTAATACACATAAAGTGCTTAGAACAGTACCAGGCTCACAACAAGTACCCTATAGGTAAAGACATGGTGTACAGGAGACATTCAATTAATGTTTGTTAAATTAAGACAGAACATCAAGCTTCTTAAGCTATGAGTCATGATTTCTAAGCTGTAGGCCTCACTGTTAGACTTTAAGGTGCTCTGACGTCTTCATCTGCCAGTGCCTTGGGGTGCCTGGAGGGGGCCACGATTCCAGGGAATCTGGGCCAAGGGTGGATGAGATGAGGGTACTTACCTGAGATCTCTGAGAACTTGGGACTGCTACCACCACCCACCAGGGCCAGCAGGTTGGAGCGGTACAGCATTTCCACCAGGCCCATGCTGCCCACCTGCTCATGGTCTGGACAAGGACCAGGGTGTCAGCAAGGGTGAAAGCCAATGTCCAGCCCAGCCCTTCTACCCACTGCCTCTTCCCCACTGATGGCTCACCCAGGTGCCCCTTCTCCATCAATGGTTCCACGTTGTAGATGCGTACGCCTGTCTCCATGGCACAGCAAAAGCAGCCTAGGGAATGGGAGGAATCCAGGCTGCCTCAAAGGATGCCCACGTGGGAAGCTAGGACAGGCTGCTTAACACCCACCTCTAGCCCTCCCTCCCTCCCTCCCTCCCTCCCTCCCAGGTAAAAGTCTCTCACTTTGGTCTTGGTTGAAACGCAGGCTGGTCACCCCTCGAAGTGGTTGCTGAGTCATGATTCAGGATTGCTTCCCTGGATACAAATGGGGATAGGGTTGGAAAGAGTCCTGGGGTCTGCCCTCCAAGTCCTAGAACTTCTGTCCCTAATTGATTTCTTCTTTCTCCTCCCACTCTGCTACCAACCACAGCATGACTGTAAAGACAAAAACAGGGCAGAGAGTCCTGGGGTCTCCACTCTAAGCTCCCAAGACCCCAAACAGCATGGCCAGGCACCTCTCACATTTGGCTACCCTGACCTGGACCCTCTACCTCCTTCTTATTCCCCAGCCCTCACAGGCTGCTTGTCAGAAAGTAGTAAGAAAGTAATTGCCCCATCCGCGAAACTCCATGTTGTAACAAAGTTTCCTCTGCACCCCCTCCCTCTTAAAAAAAAGAAAGTAATTGCCCCAGTGATATCTCCTCCCTATCCCCAGGCAATCCTGGCCCCAATACCCAACATGGCCTGGAATCAACCCCCCACCCACTTCTCATCTTCATACCTGACCCTAGCATCCAACTCCACATGTCAACAAATGGGGAGAGGGTGCTAGAACATCCATCTCTTCCTGCATCTCCATGACCTGGGCCTGAGACCAACTATGATTGGTCCACTGTTCAGAACCCCTGCAACCTATTCCACCACTCGACAGTGTTTTCACACCTTCCCTCCTCACAGGCTTCCCTAAACTCCTTCAGGATCCCAGCCTACCTCCAGATGACCCCTTCTCATGTCATGCTAACTTCCTCCCATAAGGACCAGCCTGGATGCTTCCCTAGATCCCCTTATACCCTAAAGACCCTACCTCAGGATCCCCTATCACTCCAAGTCCCCTACCCCTTAGAGGACAGCTTCTTCCATGTGCTGTACTGTCCATGACTCCAACATGGGTTGGCTTGGACTTACCCCAGGAATCCTGCCCCCCCCCCCCGTGCTTTGTGGACAAAAAAGGGGTTCTACAGAAAGTAACCTCACAAGCCCTAGCCGGTTTGGCTTAGTGGATAGAGGGTCCCAGGTTCGATTCTGGTCAAGGGCATGTACCTTGGTTGTGGCACATACTGAGTAGGAGGTGTGCAGGAGGCAGCTGATCGATGCTTCTCTCTCATCGATGTTTCTAACTCTCTATCCCTCTCCCTTCCTCTCTGTAAAAAATCAATAAAATATATATTTTAAAGAAACTTAAAAAAAGAAAGTAACCTCACGGTGATCTGATTATAAATTCCTAACTGGGCAGGTCATGATGGGTAGTCACACCACAGGCATATAACTTCTTTAGTAAAAGGCTTAATTTTGTCTTAAGCAAGCCCTGTCTATTGTTTCTGCTTATCTAGGATAACATGCCTTTGAAATGCCACCTGTCAGACCCCTTCTAATCCCATCTCCACCTTGCTTTCTCCCACCTTCATGTAATCTTCCTTAAGTTCTTGCCTTAATCTCAAATGCATGAAAGAAACTGCAAACTCTTATTCTCCAAAACATTTGAGATCTTGTTTCCTGGCAATTGCAGTCAGTTTTGGCTTAAGTAAAATAAAAATTCAACAGGTCTGGACGTTTCTTATGTTGACAGATTCCTCCAGACCACTTATCCTCTCCCCAGAGCACCTCTACCCCCTTAAGGCCATTGTCCAGGACACACCTCCCCAAACCCCTACCTGGGATAACTCATCCCCCCTCCTGTCCCGGACTTCCTTAAGTTTCCTGTCCGATAGCTCCCATACTCCCTTCAAACCCTGATCTCCCCAGGAACTTTGCCCAGGCTTACCCTTCTCCATCCCCCAAGAGCCCAAACCTCCTTTCTTGCCGGGTACCACCTTACTCGCGAAGACCCATTCTTTTGACAGCTCCACCTTCCAAGATCACCCTTTTTTTGAACTCCCATTTCAAAGATCCGCACCACCCAAGAACCTTGCCCAGGGATGCCTCACACAAAGCGCCCGCTCCCCAGCATTTCTTCACGTCCATGATAGCACTCATACTCTTTCCAACACCAAGCACTTATTCAAGATCGCTGTCCCAGATCCCCTCAACCACCAAGACCCTTGCTCAAAAGGCCTCCCAGCCCACCCGCAAACTCCGACCAGTTCTGGAGTTATGTCCCAGCTCCCCGCCACCCGTACTCACCTGACCTCCGCTCCCGCCTCCCGATCCTAGGCCCAGGTCTGGGTGCCGCCCGCGGCACAGCTTTCTGACCTCCAGGGCCTTGACACCCGGCTCCCTTGTTTACATCAGGTCTCACTTCCGGGGGAGGGAGCCTGGCACCGGAAATGACACATCCTGGCTGGAAGGTGAGGCCGTAGCCCTCCTTGTTCCGGTTTTGGGGCTTTGGAACAACGCGAATGAAAACTGCGTTCTCCTAGGAGGGCGCAGAGAGGGGAGGAAGCTCCGCGTGGTCATGAGTGTTTGAGGGAAATGAAGAGGGGGTGGGCGAGGGAGCCTTCCCTGGCTAAGTGAGAAAGGGCCGAGGATTTACCACTTTGGTTCAGCTTGAAGAGCATGAGGAGTTAACTTTCTGGGCAAACGAGACTTGGACCTCCGAGGTGGGCTAGAGTGGCCGCGTTCTGTTAATACCTTGTTCTCCCAGACTCCTAGAGAGAAGACAGGGTGGGAGCCCTCGGGCGGAGGCGATCTTGGAGACCTTGACAGCTGAGACTATCCACCCTTGACTTTGAGAAAACAGGGATGGAATTTTCCCACCCAGCTCTTTATTTACAAAATAAAATTGGTGTTTTGCCCTCCCCAGGTAGCTCAGTTGATTATAGCGTCCTCCCATTACACTAAGGTTAAGGGTTCAGTCCCAGTTTAGGGCACATACGAGAATCAACCAATGAGTGCATAAATAAGTGGAACGACAAGTCGATGTGTCTGTCTCTCTCTTTTAAAAGTTATTTATATATAGTGGACATCTGTTTTATTTATCCTTTTAAACTGATTCATGGCATTCCATGGAATAAATGTAACACTGTTCAGCTGTTCCCCTACTGGTGGCCAGATGGTTTCATGTACTGTGTTGTCATCATCCATGGAGGACTCCATTGCTATGCTCCTCAACAAAGCCAGTCTTCTGGCCTTCTTCATGCTACATTTCTTCATGTCCCAGATCATATTTAACTTAATTCAGTCTGGCTTCTGTCACTCCCATATCTCTGAGACTGCTCAACCAGATTATTACTTATCAAGAAGATAAGTAATAATCTTGCCAAAGCAGCATTTACTTCCCTATCCCTCTCCTGTGATTGCCCAGTACATTCCACAGTCTCTTGCTCTCAACTCTCGGGTTTCTCTGACATCTCTGGCTAATCATCTTTATCCAATTTCCAAATATTATTGGAGTATCCTTGGGATGATCCTGGCCCCCTTAATTTTGTAGACAATATTGTCTCCTTAAGTGACTTCATCTTGTATCATAGCCTTAATTATTGCAAATTTTTTGGAAGATCCACTAATTTAGGCTTTTATGCCAGACCTCTCCTGAACACTAGACTCATATATATACTATGGCTTGTTTGACATGTTTACATGTATGTCTTATAAGGCATCTCAAATGTAGACCATCCAAACAGATCTCTGGAATTTCCCTGGCTCAAATACCCTCCTGTCTCTGTCATCTCAACCAATGGCAAGAGCCTTGAAAATAGTATGCTAAGTGAAAGAAGCCACTTGCATATTGTATGACTCCATTTGTATGACGTGTGCAGAACAGGCAAATCCATAGAGACAAAAAGTAGATTAGTGGTTGCCTGGGGCTGAGGTAGGAGGAGGAAGAAAAGGGCAATGACTGAAAAGAGATATGGGGTTTCTTTTGAGGGTTATGAAAGTGTTCTAAAACTGATTGTGGTGATGGTTGTATAACTCTGTAAGTATACTAAAAAAAACATTTAATTGTACACTATTTTTTTAAAGATTTTTATTGGCTTCAGAGAGGAAGGGAGAGGGAGAGAGAAATCTCAATGATGAAACAGAATCATTGATCAGCTGCCTCCTGCACACCCCCCACTGGGGATAGAGTCTGCAACTCAGGCATGTGCCTTAACCATGAATCATACTGGGGACCACTTGGTTCATCAGTCAATGCTCAACCACTGAGCCACACTGGCTAGGCTCATGTACTTTTAATTGTAATGAAATACATATTACATAAAATTTACCATCTTGCCGAAACCGGTTTGGCTCCGTGGATAGAGCGTCAGCCTGCGGACTGAAGGGTCCCAGGTTCGATTCCGGTCAAGGGCATGTACCTTGGTTGCAGGCACATCCCCAGTAGGAGATGTGCAGAAGGCAGCTGATCGATGTTTCTCTCTCATCGATGTTTCTATCTCTCTATCTCTCTCCCTTCCTCTCTGTAAAAATCAATAAAATATATTAAAAAAAAGAAATTTAAAAAAAAATTACCATCTTAACTATTTTTAAGTGTACAAGTTCAGTAGTGTTAAGGATATTTTCATTGTTCTACATCCAATCTCCAGAACTTCATCTTGCAAAATCTATACCCATTAAACAACTCCCATTTCCCTCTCCCCTAGCTCCTGGCAACCATCATTCTACTTTACTTTTCCATTTTTATTGTTTTGTTTCTGTTTTTACTATTTTTTTCTTTACGTAAGCACCATCCGGTGTAACAGCATGCCTTTCCTAAGTGAGCACCAATGTGCAATTATGCAGCTTCCCCCTCACCCTCAGCCACGTAGTCTAACCCTGAAAACTGAGCAAGACGTTCCTGCCACATGCTGACACTTCAGTTGACTGCAGAAGCCTTTTCAATGGACCTTCCTCTTCTAGCAGCAGGAACCATTCATCTGAAAACCTACAAATGGGGTCTTGTGCTTGTCAGACAGTATTCAATATGCTGGCCTCACATTTGCCCAGCAGCCATGGCACCAGGTTAACTGACCCTCCAGGCACAGACCAAACCCACATCCCTCTAAATGCACTCCAGGCAAACCCCTACACCCTGGGGGGAGAGGGGCAGTTGCAAGATGGGAGGAGAGGCTAAAAGAAATTGAACCTAAACTCTTCATCTGGAATGTTCAGGGTGGCCTTGGTTCCCCTTTCTAGGCGGGGCCTGCAGACCCTTCGGATCTTCTTTCTGGTGGTCTCACCTACAGGCTGCACGTGGGCTGAGGGGGCTGCTGTCTTGAGAGCCCGCAGGCTGGGTCTCTGCATCTTGAGGCCCAGTTCTAGCTGCTCCTCGCACCAGGCCAGTGTCCTGGTGCTGTCCTGGTGCTGGGGCTGCCGGTGTCTCCCCAGCAGGATGTCCTAGGGTCGCCATGCGCTGCAGTTGCTGCCACCGGAACCCTCTACTTTACATTTTTATGAATTTGACTACTCTGGATACCACAAAAATTTGTCTTTTGGTGACTGGCTTATGCCACTTAGCAAAATGTCTTCAAGGTTCATTTGTGTTGCAGCATGTGTTAGAGTTTCCTTCCTTTTACTTAGTTTTTTATTGGAATTTCCTTCCTTTTAAAAGGTAAATAACATTGCATGTATTACCACATTTTCCCTTTTTTTGTTTATTTTGTATATGCCACACTTTGCTTATTCACTGATGGACACTGGACTGCTTCCACCTTTTGGCTATTGAGAATAATGTTGCTATGAGCATGGGTGTGCAAAATCAATTCTTCTGGCTATATATCCAGAAGTGGAATTGATGGATTAAATAGTAATTGTTTTTTAATTTTGGGAGGAAATGTCATACTATTTTCCATAGCAGCTGCACCATTTTATATTCCAACCAATAGTTCATAAAGGTTCCAATTTCTCACATCCTCACCAACACTTTTCTTTTTTAAAATAGTAGCCATTCTAGTGGGTGTGAGACCCAGGTAATTGTCACCTGTATGGCAGTTCCCGAGACACTTCCCCTTACAGAGCTCATCTTTGACCTGACTCAGAACTGTTTGCATACCATTTCAAAACAGTTGGTGGTCATTGTTTAACTCCACAGATGCCTGCTGTGGTGATAAGAGCTAGAGCAAACAAGAGGTTGACCAATAAACATGAAAGTAAGAGCTAGGGAATAAAATGTCCAGAGGGGGATTTGAACAGCTCTGAAGCTCTGGCTGGGTAGGGCCTTTGGTTAGACTCAGAGCATTGTCCAGCTATGCCAATATTTTGGGTTCAATCCCCAGTCAGGGCACATACAAGAAATCAATGAATGCAAAAATAGGTGGAACAACATATCAATGTTTTTCTCTCTAATCAATACATAAAAATTTTCAGAAAAGATCTGATATATTCCTGGGGATCTGGAAGGACAGATGCAGGTGCATGTGCAAGGCTGTAAACACACCCAGAAAAGAACTGAGGAGGCCCTAAGCTCTCACCTGTGTGTGACCTTGAGGCTCTGTGAGAGCAAGACTGAAGGGTGAGGCAGAGTAGGCTAGGCATTCTGAACACAAGGCAGTACTCAATAACTTTAGGCCCCATTTTGAAAGACAGGCTTGGGAGAAATGTTAACTCCAGGAAATCAGAATCTGATGAAAGATCTATTTTAAGTATCATGGTGCATGGAGGAGTTGAAGGTATTGTCCAAAACTGTCAGGTTATGCCATGTTGCAGGGCAGACACAGGGGACCAGTGCCTTTCCCCAGGGAGATCCGGGCCCTTCTCGAGGGTGTTACCAAATGGGTTTATTATGATTTGGAGAAAGGAATAGGCCTTCTTGACTGGGTGAAGCACATACAGCAGAGGAAGCTGAGTACTGGACATGACAAATTGGGAAGCTCTAGAATCCCAACCCTTCACCCGGATTAAAAATACAACCAAGCCTGGAATTCCAGGGGTAGTGCACCCACTCACAATGACTGGAGATGGATTAACTGAGTAGGGTTTGTTCCTGCTGCCTCCTTGAACAAGCCTGTTTAGCCAATCTTGAGAACAGATGAGTTCTGGAATTAATTAGGAAATGACCAAAAAGTCAGCCTGTGCAAGTGTGCTTCATGTTGGGGTTACTAAATATTGGAAGGTTTCATAATCACCTTACCTTAGAGGCGCATAGCTACCAGTATTCTCACTTTGGCTCTAAACACCAGTCTACCTCTGCTTGGCAGTGGGGACAGTAGCTTATCTTTACTATCTGCTCTAGGGGTGTTTTAAGTTCTCTAGCACTGTGCCACATTCTGACCCATCAGGACTTTGTACCAGTGGCCTAGATCTAACTCAAATCCTACTTATTACATCTATGACTTAGTGACTGGGGATGATTTAGAAACAATTGTGCCACCCTGGCTGGGTAGCTCAGTTGGTTGGAGTCATCCTGATAGGCCAAGGTTTTGGGTTTCATCCCTGGTCAGTGCACATATAAGAATCAATGAATGCATAAATACGTGGAATAACAAATTAATGTTTTTTTTCTCTCTCTCTAAAATCAGTAACAATTTAAAAAAAAACAAAAAACAACTGTGCCTAAACTCTGACTTTCCTCATTGATTTTTGTATCTCAGACCGTTAAACAGAAAAGTTTGAGGATTCTTTGACAATAACCTTTTTGAGAATCCAGTTACCTGGAGCAACCAAATTCTACCTGAGACAGAGCCCTTCTCAGCTTTTATTTTTTTAGAGAGAGAAAGTAAGGGAACCAACTTACACCATACACAAAACTAAACTCAAAATGGATAAAGGACTTAAACATACGACGGAAAACCATAAAAATACTAGAGGAATCCAAAGGCAACAAAATCTCAGACAT